TTAAGCAATTGAAGTAGGGGTACATGGATCAGCCCGTGTTGACAATTTAAATACTTGTCCTATACTACACCACCCTAGAGTTTAAAAACTTGGGATCTAGTAGGGATTAATTCACAGTGTAGTTTCGTGCGAGTCACCCCTCTTGACCCAGCTTTTCTCCATGAAACAGAGGTGGCTTTCTAGAGTGCAGAGAAGCAAAGAGAGTTTTTTGAGCAAGCTTGTGCACAATTTGCTCACGCTTGATTTTTCACTATTACATAAGAGAAGAAGGACGAAAAGGCAATCCACAAGGACAATATGGAGCATATGAAACTTGGTAGGAAGAGCTTCTATGCCAATGATGAGCAATCGATTCATGTTGTGGCAAACAAAACTTTTTCATGTTCCACGTCGAGATTTGAAGAAATGAACATGAATGAGGAATTGCAAGCTCATCTCATCGAGAACCTTTGATGGCGACTTGCTATCAAATTATTGCTTGAAGAATTTGATAACCTGGTGAGAGAAGAAGTTGTGGAAAAGGATGGAGAGAGAAGAGAAGAGGAAACTCTTGACTTATCCCAAGGAGAGGAGCCTAATTTCGAAGAGGGAATAGAGGTTTAAGAGGTAATTGAGGTCCAAGACAAGAAAGAGTTTGAGGTGGTTGCAGCTTCTACAACCCCACACTCATTTCAAAGATCCCCATCCAACTTTGAGGAGCTTATAAAGAATGACCCTTTTACACCTTATCTTTGCTAGACCAAGGCCACGCCATCATGGTTCCCTCTTGGTGGATGTTATGGTGGTCAATTAATGTTGTCCTACATGGTTTTGGGCAATAAGAAGCAGGAAGAGAAGGAGAAGTCTTGAGGGTGGAGCTCCCATTTGAATCAAGTACACTAGCCCTTGGCACTTTATAAGAACCCATTGCTCGTGACTTGAGACTTGAGACTCCACATCACCGATAAGAACCTCAATTTCAAAGAGTTTTTGGGTTGGACCAAACCTTAGGAGCCACCGTCTCGCTCATTACGTGAAAGAAGCGCTTGTTAAAAGGCAACCCAACCCATCGTTTTGCATTTACTCTCTCATTTTCTTTTGGTTGAGTAAGTTTGTGCTTTAGTTTAGATTAAATAACTCAACCTTTTTGAGCTTGCGGTGTTTTGGTGTTCGAGTTTCTCTTCAGGATTTTGCATGTCCTCTTGTCCCATCCACCATCCTTCACTCCTGGTCCGTCAACTTCATTATACCCTGCTTATCTTTTCACCATTAAGAACAATTTTGTGCTTAAGTGTGGGTAGGTATTACATTGTGTATGGGTGTGAATGAATAGTGAGAATCAATGTTTGTCTTAGACGCTAGTTCGCAGTCCAAATTTTTTCAAAGTTTAGAGCTCCAAATACATTGTCCTATGCATTTTCATGCTCAGTTTGCTTTGATTTGGTAGTCTATATGATGATATGTGACCTAAGGAGGCTAGTATAGTGGCTATGAAAGATGTCTTTGTCCCGAGACTTGAATTCCACTCAACATGTCTGGATACACTGTCCGCTTTTTATCTTGTGAACTGTTAAGCTCTGCATATGAGCCTATATATTTTGAAAAGTTTTAGACGGGTGAATTGAATCTTTATCAATGAAATGAATAAAATCCTACCTAACAATAAATTTTTAATAAAAAATTACCATAACAAATAAAGTGTGGGGGTACGCCAACTTGTGAGGCAATCACTCACTGCACAGGCGTAATAGGAAAGATTCAACTGAGCATCAGTTCGCGGTCATACAATGTAGTTTATCTAGTACAATCTCCTACCTAGTGAAGTGTCATTTCAGTATAGTGTTTGAGGGGCACGAATAATTCTTTTCACTTACGCTCCATCCGGATCGAGGGAAAATAGTTAAACAAAGCCCTAATGTGAGTGTTGAGGTGTAGAAATTGCTCTTGCTCAGTCATGGTAGTAAGAAACCATCCTCTTGTGCACAAATGTGTGAAATGGCAAGAAATAACAAAAGAAAATGAGCAAAAATCTCGTTGCGAGGAAAATGTAGGAATGAGCATAAAGTCAAAGTAAAGTTTGAAAAGGCCTCGATTCATGCATTTTTTAGACTCTAGTATTTAGTTGATCGTGTGTGAGTTATAAAAGCAGACATATTTGTCCTGACGAGATTTTAGCTCATTGATGTAGTCAAGTCTCCGAGTGTGAGGGTTGGCTATGTAAGTTACTTATGATCCACTATTGACGATCGATAGTCACAAATCATCATGGAGGTTTAGCGAGTTTGCACGGTTTTGAGTATGGTTTACTTTGAGACAAACAAACGGCTCAGTGCGGGGTAGTATGGTACAAAGCTCATTTATAATTGTTTTACCCCTCGTCTCTTGATTGTTTCTTGACCATTTACATTGGAAATGCCTTATCATTTGCCAATTTTGCGTAGGTTGTGTTCTTTTACCATATTTCAGGTCCTAGAATGTGGTGAAGGGTTGGGAACGAGTTTGAGGCAAAAAAATGAGCAATAGAAGGCCGACAATGATTCTCACGACGATGGAAATGAAAATCACGATCGTTGGAATCAATTCTTAGCCAACGACCCTTGAGTGTTTTTTTTTTGTGAAAATGGGTGCACCACTATCGCTTCATCAATATTTAGACTATTTTAATAGAACGAAATAGTTGAACCATGATTTTAGTAAAACATATGCTACAACTAACTTTTTTGGCATGATTTACAACCATAGCGCTTAAGCATAAATCAAGCAGGGAAGGAACTCCCGACTAAGTTGTAGAACGACCAATGTCTTGCATTTCAATATGAAACTCTTAACTAAATGAATTTATGTGCGTATTAAAGTTGGGAAATAATAAATTCATGGGAGAGCACTTATACGTCGCAGCAAGATTTGAGGGCAAATCTTTTTCAAGAGGGATTGAATGATACGACCCCGCTCACCCGACATGGCGTTACTCAAGCCCAAATTAGATCTCTACATGGACCATGGGTTAAGAGATGATTTAAAAGGTTTAAAGAGATCTTTGGAGCATTTCAGCAATCAAATAGAGTGTTTTCAAGTTCAAGTGAAGGGTTTTGCTTAATCTCTCCTATGAGGATTGAGGAGAATTGAGTGGTCTCTTATCAATTAGAGAACGCGTCTAGTTGTGGCAAGCATCGACTATATCGGTTGGTGTTATCCAAGGGTTCGAGATGATTTGATTGTTTTCATATACCAATTGGCCTTTCTCGCGAGTTCGAATCTGTTTGATCGATTTCAGCAAGTATCTTTTATTTTCTTGTTATTGAAGAAAGAAGAAAACCCCTCAATAGTATGACGTGTACAACTCTGGTGTTTTGGTCCAATTTTGAGTGGATTCTCGAATTAGGGTCATATCATGGCATCGAGTGTCCCTTATATGTGAAGACAATTTACAAGAACTTCAGCCTCACAATAAACATGAAATTGAAAACCTCAAGTATGATCTTTAAAAGTGTCAAACCAACTATATCAGGATCATAGTCATGAATAACATAGGTGTCAAAATTCCTTTAGTTTATTATTTGATAATCGAACTAATGTCAAGCTTACATATTTATAAGATAGAAAAACCTAATATTGTAAACTTAATCTATCCCTATGGCTAGCCGACTCGGCCACCTACCGCAAGAAGACTTCTAATTGGACTTACTAAACCCATGCACTAATATAACCCACCTACTAGCTAGGTAAATCAACTAACGCATAAGGGTAAATTGCAAGTTTAGTCACCAAGTTTACTAAAAAGTTCTTAGTCACTAAAAAATTAAATTCCATTCATGGTCACTAAAACTAATTCAATGGTTTAAATTTGGTCACTCTCCGTCCATTTCTGTTATCTTTATTCTATATGACACTCAACTCTAATAGTTGACCGTTAAATGAGTGATGTGGCAATTAAAAATAATATAAATAATAAAATTTAATCCTTTTCAATTTTCACCTCATTTTTAACAATAAATTAAAATAAATAAAACACAATTACCAAAACAAAAATAAATCCATTCATCACCGCAACCCTCTCACGCCTATCCCGTGGATAAATGACACAAATATTGTTTTTTTTTAAATTTACCACAAATATGGTGAATTAAAAGTATTGACACAAATATTGTGGTTTTGAGTAAATTCAGAGGCGGGGACGCTGGAGACTGAGGTGGGGACGCCTTTTTGAATATTTGGAACCTGTCTTAAGCGCTGCGGCTTAGTCTCCAGCGCCCCCGCCTCAACCTCTCTAAAACCTATTTTAAAAAGGCGCAGCAAGGATTCCCTTTCTTATCTTCTTCTTCCTCCCCCCCCCCCCCCACACTCCCGAACCAGAGTGCCGCTGACCCCAGTCACAGCCGCTGCAGTCCCAGTCGCCGCCGCCGCTGTCCCAGGCGGCGCCGCCGCTAACCCAGGCACCGCCGCTGCAGAGACAGGAGTCGCCGCCGCAGACCTTCCACTCCTCGGATATGTCATCCAACGAAGACGAAGTTGTCGCCGGCAGAGGCAGGGGCAGAGGCCGCCGAGGTCGTGGTGGCGGCCGTTTTCGCGGTGAGGTTCTCTCCGGCGACGGTTTTTTTTAATTAATTAATGTTTTGCATTTTTTTTAATTAATGTTTTTGTTTCTTTGCTTTTGCAGTTCCTAGACTTATGGACCCTTATTCCATGAGACTACCGCTGGCGACAATTGATCCAGCTCTGGTCGATCCGGTACTTCTTTGGGGACAAGGCGAACATCGTATCGACTCAAGAAATTAGAATAGGATAACGTATCAATTTTTTTGACATTAGTATAATTTGAGATTAGATTAGATAGATTAGAATTTATTAGGTGAAAATTAGAATTATTACGAATGATATTGAATTAATATAAGTTTTGTGCACTATAGGCTGGTGATCGATCTTATCATGTTCGAGGTACGACCAATTTAGTGATGTACCATGAGCTTTATCGGCCATATCTCAAAGCGGCTGGCTTGTTTAGTGTCGTGCCCCTGGTCCCTATGAACTCTGATGCGAGTTTGATTACTACGCTCATAGAGAGGTGGCGACCCGAGACGTCGACCTTCCATATATTGTTTGGTGAGATCACGATTAGGTTAGAGGACGTTGTTACACTGTCCGGTCTGGCGATCGACGGTGATGCCGTCGTAGTTGATATACCGGATGAGGAGTGGTCGGCGACCTGTTTGAGACTGTTAGGACGGGTTCCGGCTGATCTTTCAAGCGGTGTCGGTGTCATTAGGACTGTTTGGCTGAGGGATAAGTTCAGTCATTTGCCGGGAAATGCATCACCGGAGGTTATAGAGCAGTTTGCACGAGCTTATGCTCTATCTCTTATGGGAGGTGCACTGTTCCCGGATCGTTCTGGAGCTACGGTGCACCTACAGTACCTACTTCTTATTGAGGATTGGCAGAGAGCTAGACAGTTCTCCTGGGGAGCTACTGTTTTATCCTACCTATACCGTGAGATGGGTAGGTCGGCTTTGCACATTACGCATTCCGGCACTTCTCTAGGCGGTGACCTTGGTGGATGGGTCGCCTTACTACAGCTCTGGGTGTGGGAGCGATTCCCACATCTGGCAGCGCGACATTTAGAGACGAGGGCACATATTTCCGAGGATGCATCCCCACGTGGTCTTCGATGGCTTCCGGCCAACACTCGTCAGTATGGTGACCAGCTATTCTAGTACAAGCTGTGGTTTGACGCGATGGACACGGTGGTGGTTAGTATATAACATTCCATTTTATAGAATAGTTTTCATTTGTTTGCTTAGATTTAGGGATAATAACATTAATATTTTTTTGTGTAGTGGCAACCTTACGTTGAGAGAGCACTTCATCTCAGAGGTAGTGTGATACAGTCTGAGACGTTTCGAGCAGTAGTGCCACTTATCTGCTTTTCATCGGTGATGTGACATCATCTAGACCGCGTGCTCCAGTACTTTGGCATGAGGCAGCATGAGCCTCACCGCCACATCTTGAGGATGAGGTTAGGTTTTTTCTTCGTCAGACTACTCGTGGGCCATCGAGTGGGCAGCAGTTGGTACACGCCTCCAGAGAGTCGCTTGCTTTCTGGAACCATTGAAACGAGTTCGTAGCGACGGCTCCATACACTGATGAGGAGTTAGCCTACCACTCGGAGCATATGGAGTGGTATAGAGATGTCACCAGGCGTTCTGGCACACGGAGAAGGAGCTGCGGCGGAGGCATTGGTTAGTTATTTGATTTGTTTGCTTAATATTTTTTTTTTGTATTTGTCTTGAATTTGTTGTTAACTATGTGAAATATCTAACATTTTTTTGGTGTTTTTTTAGTACGACACTTTCGAGCATGCTGAGGTGATTTTGCGTGATGGTGTACGGGCTGGAGGGTTGACCCCCGACCAGTGTGAGGACATGGCCAACATTATGGCATCCCGGGTTACTACTCTAGGTTTTGAGTGACGCAGATACCCTCATCTCACAGTACCTGTACAGCCCCATTATGATCAGCACGTCATGACTGCCTGGCCAGAGCGTACTGATCCGACACCGGGCTGGGTCATCCTAGAGCCACAGTTCAGACAGGAGCATAGGCCACGTAGACAGCGACGTGAGCATCGTGATGTACCCAACCCGATCCGAATTTCTGATCGATAGCGAGCACAACCCGCCGTGCCTACTACGAGGAGCTTCCAGTTTAATCCGCCTCGGTCGCAGTTTCAGTCAGATCCTTCCTCAAGCTTTCATCCTCCGCCACGACAGCAGTTTTAGTCAGATCCGTCTTCGAGCTTTCAGCCTCCGCCTCGGCAGCAGTTTCAGTCAGATCCGTCTTCGAGCTTCTATCCACCAGAGGATAGCATCCATACACCGCAGCATGCTACGATGAGAGGCGGAAACATGGCCTCAGGTGGTGATACTAGAGCAGCCTCGTCTCTCAACCTGTGGGATAGCCTAGAGGGTGATGAGACGTTTCAGGAGACGATGTGGAATTATGAGCAGCATCTTCAGTCTCATCACCATGGTGGCGGTGTACCTGAGGAGCAGATTCAATCTCAATAGGATGATATGTTTGGTACACAGGATCAGGATGGTGATGTCGAGGGAGATCAGCCCCAGGAGTATGATGGTAGACCTCCACGTAACAGGGTGCCTGTGAGGTGTGGTACCGACGGCTATCTAGTGGTGGAGCATGGTGGTCGTCGTGGTTGTCGTCAGTGAGACTATTATGTAGACTATTATTTTTGGATTGTTATTATTATGTACTTCCTTGAGACTATTATGTGGACTATTATTTTTTTATGTTATTATTTTATTAACGATGAAAACCATAACAACTACATACCAAAATACAACAACTTCAAACAACAACTTCTACATGGTAAATCCAAAGAAATACAACAACTTCTACATGGTAAATCGAAAGAAATACAACAACTGCTACATTTGAACAAACTTCTCAGCCACGTCTATTACCTCTACTTCCTCTTCTACCACCTCTCGCACTTCGTTGGCCACCACTCCCTCTTCGTTTGCTCCCACTCCTACTAGCTTGGCCACCGTAGGTTGATGCATTATGTTCCGCTTGGTTACAGTTGCTACACACTTGGTGTGATGCACCCTCCCAATCCATCTCGTTGAGAATCATTGTAACTCGTGGCCTCCCCGGCTTCCTAATCATGTGCACATTAGGATGGAGAATAGGACCATTATGCTTCTTCCAACCCTTAGGTTCACCAAGAGGTGTGAAACTTGTCCCATAACAAGCCAACACTGTTTCCAGCTTGTAGACATCGTTTACAAACATATACGCATTAGCCCTCATTCGGTTGCAAGTTGCATGGCATGAGAGCAAGGAATTTTATTTCCTTGAAATTTACCACAGGTGCAAAATCCAACCCGGTTTTGGTCGTCAAAGTGCACTGTGAGTGTGTTTGACCCCGTCATGTTGAAATTGTTGGGAGGAGTCTGAACTACATAGATGTCTTGACGTCGATCAAGAGCTGTCACAGAATGTCCAACTGCCTTTTGTGACCACAGCTTCATCAGCTCTTCGCAATTGGTGTAATGTGAAGGACCACTTCTAATTTATGCTCCTGTCTCCAACCTGTACTTATCGAATTTCTCCACCAATCGCCAATAGGTATGTTGCACAAGAGAAGCTATAGGAAGTGCACGACTACCTTTGAAAACACCATTGATGCTTTCTGCCATGTTGGATGTCAGGATAGACCAACGACGCCCACCATTGTAGTTATCATGTGCTAAACTCCAACGAATCTGATGTTGATCCACCCAGTTATCACATGAAATATTTTTATCAGTGGCCACCTTCTTAAATTGCTCAACTTGATGATCGAACTTCTCCAACCGTTTTTTTTCGGCTAACAAAATAAACAACCACACGGGTTAGATAAATTCATGACAAAATTACATGAAAATAAATGACAAAATTAAATGAAGAAGGCTTACCGACTCGAAATAGTTGCTTATACATAATTCTGCTTTTAGTCTTCCTTTGCAAATTGCTTGCAAAGTGTCGCATGCACCACCTGCACTCCCAACCTCTTCTGATGTTATTCATGGCTTCATAGAGTCCTTCATGTCTATCTGAGATGATGCATACATCATTTCAATTAGTCAAACCCTGAACGTTCCTTATGAACCATGGCCAACTCTCAGTATTCTCGCTCTCCACTATGTCAAATGCAATTGGAAAAATCTTCTTCCGGCCATCAAATGAGCTCGCCATGAGTAGCACTCCTTTATACTTCCCAGTAAGAAATGTTCCATCACCAACCATGACGCCTGGACAATTCTTGAGTCCATCTATACAAGGTCCATAAGCCCAAAATACTCGCTGAAATATCGAATGACCTGGTTGAGTCGAAGGAACTCTTACCCAATCAATCACCGATGTTGGCATTTTTCTCTTGACCACCCGCAAGAATGTTTGCAAAAAATCGTAGGATTCTTCCCAATTTCCATGCAACTTCTCCAATGCTCTTTGTTTCCCATACCAAGCCTTCTTGTAAGTAACTTGCATATTAAAGTTATCTTTCAACTCGGCCTGCACAGTTAGAACACTCAGATTTGGTTGGGCACGTACCAAATGTTTGACGGCCTCAGATATCATGTCGACATCAAGATGGCGGTGATCCGTCGGTTGAGTCGTACTGCTACAAGAATGCACCAACTCAGCCTTTCTCACAGTCCATTCGCCTCCAACATCTCGACATCCAAACCGCACCATCCAAGGACAATTGTCATCCTTCTGCCTCAAGCATCTGACCTACCAGATTGAAGGTGACGACTCCACCATGCCATATTGAAAGTTGCGTTGTAGTGCGTGGTGTTTGATCGCCATCTGTGCAGCTTGTTTCGAGTGAAATATATGCCCCTTGTAGAATTCTCCTTCAAAACTGTCAACAATAGGCATTGGAATTAAGCCATATGAATCAACAAGTGATAATTCTTCGTCCTCTTCATTACCCCGCAAGTAAAAATATGGAGGATAATTAGGCTGCTCTCCTTCCCCCTCTTCCTCCTCCTCCTCCTCCTCCTCGTCATCATCTTCCTCCTCTCCGTCATCACCGTCATCATAGTCATGATCGGATGGCACGCTCCATGTATCATCTTCTTCCTCTCCACCATGATCCTCACTGAGCTCAACATGTATCTCAGCACCCAAACAATAAGACTTTTGTGCCATAAAATTCCAAAGCACATTCAAGCTATCATCATCCACAATAGGCATCGCATAATGAAATAAAACATCATTCTGCCATTCTGGAAGACGGTAAGTGAAACCTGTGATTACATCAATATCTTGTACTGCTTCGTCTCTACACCATATTCTCGAAATTAGATTCTCACAAAGTTTGTGATATGTGACCCTGGATGGAACCGTCAACTGATAACTACTACCACCAACGAATTTGACGCCCAAATTATCCTCTACTTTCTCCGATTTCCACCGAACGACTAGTTCAAATCTTATAAAATCACTATAGAAACACAAACTCACTAATTAAAACTAAACACAATCATAATAGCATTTGAATAATATAATTACAAAAATAAATGTGTCTCTTACGTATTAGCCATTTTTGCAGCAGCAACGAGAGCTCTCCTCTATCTTGGTCGATTTTTTTTTGTGGTGCGAATAACTGAAACGAAATTGGCTGGTTTCATAGGGGGTAGCAAGCCAGCGGTGCCACCTTAGTCTTGGGCGCCACCGCATGGGATAATTTCCCACCAACTCACCTATGCCTCAGGCGGTGCCACCTGAGTCTTGGGCGCCGCCGCTGTCACATTAATAAAACGATCCAAATAGACAGCAAAAGCGGCAACACCTGAGTCTCAGGTGGTCTCGCCGATTTTTTTTCTCCAAAACACAATATCTGTGTCAATACTTTTTAATCCGCCATATTGGTGGTAAATTTAAAAAAAATACAATATTTGTGTCATTGTCCCCTGTCCCGTCTTCACCCATCATCAACGCCTCGACATGTTGAATCTGTTACCAATATCTCACCGCATACTCGAGAAGTCGAATCTGTCCGCCGTCGTCGCCGATCTGTCCTCATGGGGCGTCCAACTGCAAACGCGTACACCACTATGCGGCAGCGAGGACGAACTGGACCTTCAGCCTCTCTGCTTTCGCCACTGGTACTCGATGCCATCCGGCGCGAGCAAGACGATTTGGA